TCCTTAGATCAATACCTTAATGTGTTGATTATCGTAGCTTTAAATCCAGTAATGGAAGTCCTCCAATGTTGTGCTTCTTTTTCAGAATTGTTTTGGCTTTTTAAGGTTCTTTTTATTTCATATGAATTTTAAAATTAACTTGTCACTTTATATAAAAATGGCTACTGAGATTGTAGATTGATTGTATTGAATCTTAGGTCCTTTTAGAGAGAATTGACATCTTAACAATACTGTATTTTTTGATCCACAAACACAGTATACCTCTCTGTTCATGTAGGCTTATAATTTCTCTCAGTAATGCTTTTATAGTTTCTGATTATACTTTTACTAGTGAACTTTATCCTCTTCATTCAGCAAGTACTTATTGAGCATCTACTGTGTGTCAGGCACCATTCTAGTTGCTGGTGTTACAGCAGTGAACAAAGTAGGCAAAAAGCCCTTCTCTTGGGGAGCTTCATTTCCAACCGGTAGAAACCAGGGGAGAAACTAATAAGTTGAATATATGTTAGATGGTCGTTAGTACTCTGGAGAAAAATCAGGGTGTAGCGGGTTGGAGTATATGAATGTAGTGGGGTGGGTAGGGCAAGGTTTACAATTTTAAATTAGGTAGACAGAGAAGTCTTTGTTGAGAAGTCAATGTTTAAGCAGACCCTAGTCTGCTATGTACACTAATAATGAAACGATAAACATGTTCAGAAGGAAAAGGGGAAAGAATGTGGGAGCTTGAATAAATGTGCTAAGTATGCTAGTTGCCTCCTGTGTGATAACCAGGAGTGAATAGCATTTAAAATCAGCAAGTGTAGTAACAGAAACAGACCTAACAGCAGAAAGGTAAACAGTAAGGAAGATAGTGTTTTTGGTTGAAATCTAGTGATGAGAAAGAGAGGAGGAAAGATAAGCATATCTTCTCATGACTTATAGTAGAGAACTAATAGGTAACGTGAAGAAATGGAGGACTAAGTTTATTATGTATGGATGTGATTATAAAGGTGTCCACGAGTGCAATAGTAGAAAACTTACTAAAATAACAGAACCATCTGTGAAATATAAAGAGAAGATAGAGTTAAATGACACAGATGGGTGCTTTATTATTTACAGTGAAGAAATACCAGATATCTGTGTAAAAATAATAAAATTGTTTTGAAAAATTAATATTCAAAAGGCAAAAAAGACACTTGGGAGTTATTCACAAAAACCGTACTGGTAGAAGACTTCAGTGGTTCTCTCTTAGACTATTGTGTATCAAATGAACAAAAGACTAAAGCTATAGAACAGCTAAATACCGTAATTAATAAGCAAAATTTAATGGATAAACTGAATTCTACCTTGAAGATAGAGGCTATACCTTCTTTCCAAAAGCTATAAAACATATACAAAATTTGATTCTAATACTACATCATAAAGAAAACTTTAATACGTTCCAAAAGTGGGAATAATATAGAGTTGCCCATGTAATATGGTAGCCACTAGCCACATCTAGCAGTTTAATTAAAGTTAAATGAAATTCAGTTTCTCAGTGTCATATGCCACATATCATGTGCTCAATAGGATAGATTGCCTTTGGAATGAGGAGAAAAGAGACCAGATTGAAGTATCGGTGAACTAAATCTTCCTCTTTCATAGCAAGAGGTCAATAGACAAAATTTGAAGTCAATCAAGAGATAAAGACGGACACATATTATGTGTAATTATGGAGAGAAATAGAAAAACCACAAACAAATAGATGAAAGTGATGGCTTCTAGAAAGCGGGATTGCAGGTAGGGACACTTGGGCAGCCTGCCTTTTTATTTTAAGCCTTTTCATACTATTTGGGGTTTTTTTTGTTTTTTGTTTTCTTTTGAGGAAGATTAGCCCTGAGCTAACATCCGCCGCCAGTCCTCCTCTCTCTGCTGAGGAAGACTGGCCCTGAGCTAAGATCTGTGCTCATCTTCCTCTACCTTATATGTGGGACACCTGGCACAGCATGGCTTGATAAGTGGTGCATATGTCCGCACCTGGGATCTGAACCGGCTAACCCCAGGTCGCTGAGGTGGAGCATGCGAACTTAACCGCTGCACCTCCGTGCCAGCCCCTACTATTTGTTTTTTTAAAACTGTGTGTGTGTATTACACCAATGATATGTAAGTTTTAAGAAACTGATAGGATAAAGCAGCCTAGAAACTGTCCTTGCACAATAGTTTCTTATACAATAAATGATAAGTGTAATTTCATGCCTTTGTATAAACTGAAAAACACTCAAGTTCTCTTTAGATTATTTTATTACAATTAATTTATACTGAAAGTGTTAAAAAAAATTTTTCAGGCACCAGTAGCCAAGTCTTCTCTTTCATTTGTAAGTGAGGATAGCAAATATTTCTGTGATGTTGGGCATATGTTACTTATCTTTAATTGACAAAATATTTAATTTTGGGGGCTAGCCCGGTGGCATAGTAGTTATGTTTGCTCACTCTGCTTTGGCGCCCCGGGATCACGGATTTGAATCCCAGGTGTGGACCTGCACACGGCTTATCAAGCCATGCTGTGGCAGGCATGCCACATGTATACTGGAGGAAGATGGGCACAGATCTTAGCTCAGGGCCAATCTTTCTCAGCAAAAAGAGGAGGGTTGGTGGCAGATGTTAGCTCAAGGCTAATCTTCCTCAAAAGAAAAATGAAAACAAAACAACAAAAAAATATGGGAGGGAGAAGTAAGAGTAGAGTTTTTGTATGTGGTTGAAATTGTTAGCTTAAAGCAGACTCTTCTGCTTATAAGATAGTTTATGTAAGCCTCGTGGTAACCACAAAGCAAAACCTGCAGTAGATTTACAAAAGATAAAAGAGAAGGGAATGAAAGCATACCACTATAGAAAATCATCAATTCACAAAGAAAGACAGCAAAAGAGGAAGAGAGCAAAAGGGAAGAGAACAAAACATCCAGAAAACAAAAAAGATGGCATTAGTACTTACCTATCTGTAATTACTTTAAATGTAAATGGATGAAATTTTCCAATAGAAAATGGCCGACTGGATTAAAAAACAAGATCCAACTTTATGCTGCCTACAAGAGACTCGCTTCACCTTTAAGAATGTAGGCTCAAAGTGAAAAGATGGAAAAAGATATTCTATGCAAATGGAAACCAAGGAGAGTAGGAGTAGCTATACTACATCAGACAAAATAGACTTTAGGTCAAAAACTGTAATGAGACAAAGAAGGTCTTTATATAATGAACAAGAGGTGGTTCAAGAGGATATAATGATTGTAAATATATATGCACCCAACATTGGAGCACCTAAATATATTAAGCAAATATTAACAAATCTTAAGGAAGAAATAGACAGCAATACAATAATAGTTGAGGACTTTGAACAGTACCCCACTTTCAACAATTGGTAGATCAACTAGATATAGTCAATAAGGAAACACTGGACATGACATACCTTAGACCAAATTAACTTAACAGATGTATACAGAACATTCCATCCAACAGCAGCAGAATACACATTCTTCTCCAGGACACGTGGAATACTCTCCAGGATAGATCATATCTTAGGTCACAAAACAAGCCTTACATTTAGAGGATTCTAAATCTTACAATTAGGAGATTGGTACCGTATCGAGTATCTTTTCCAACCACAATAGTATGAAACTAGAAATAACAGGAGGAAAACTGGAAAATTCACAGATGTGTGGAAATTAAATACACTCTTGAACAATGAGTGGTTTAAAGAAGAAAGCAAAAAGGAAATCAAATCAAATAGGATGCAGCAAAAGCAGTTTTAAGAGGAAAGTTTTTAGCAGAAAACACCTAGATTAAGAAAAAAAACTACAAATAAACACTTTAAGGAAGTAGAAAAAGAACATAGTAAGCCTCAAGTTAGCAGAAGGAAGGAAATAACAAAGATTGGAGCGGAAATACATGAAATAGAGACCAAGGAAACAATATAAAAGATCAGTGAAATAGCTGGTTTTTTGAAAAGATAAAATTGGCAGACCTTTAGCTACACTAAGGAAAAAAAAGACTCAGATAAAATCAGAAATGAGATAGGAAACATTACACCTGATAGAACAGAAATATGAAGGATCGTAAGAGAGTACTGTAAAAAATTATATGCCAGGAAATTGGTCAACCTAGAAGAAATGGATAAATTCTTAGAAACATGTATACAGCCTACCAAGGCTGCATCATGAAGAAATAGAAAATTCAAACAGATGAATAATGGGTAAGGAGATTGAAAATAGTAATCAGAAACCTCCCAACAAAGAAAAACCCAGGACCAGATGGTTTCACTGGTGAATTCTACCAAACATTTAAAGAATAATTAACACTAATCTTTATCAAACTCTTCCAAAAAATTGAAGAGGAAGGAACATGCTCAAACTCATTTTACGAGACCAGCATTACCCTGATACCAAAGCCAGGTTAGGATACTACAAGAAAACTACAGCCTAATATTCCTGATGAATATAGATACAAAAATTCTCAACAAAATACAGGCAAATTGAATTCAACAGCACATTGAAAGAATCATACACCATGACCAAGTGGGATTTATCTTTGGGGTGCAAGGATGGTTCAATACACAAGTCAGTAAATGGGATACACCACATTAATAGAATGAAAGATAAAAATCATATGATCATTATTGAATAGATGCAGAAAAAGTATTTGGTTAAATACTTTTCCAAAGGTTAAAACCTATATTATTATACCTAGTTCTTTTATTAGTGTCTTAGCAACTATAAATAAAATATTTAAATTTCTTTGGTGTTATATTTTTACATCCCTGCTGTGTGAGATAAGGATGCTAAGACCTTTATCCATTTCTCCATTCTTGTCTCTTCTATGTCTTTACTTCCATTCCTACCTTTTCTTTTGTATTTGACCAGGTTGATAACATAACATTTACATTCTGTTCTGTAATGAGAATTAAGACATTCAGCCTTGTCAGTAGGTTGGTTCTAAAAGCTGAACATGATAAACTGCAGTTAATCGTTGAGTTAGGATTATTTTCTTCTCAGCAGGTTGAAAGTCATGATGCTAATGGAACCCAAAGAATAAAATATTTAACATCAAGGTAAGGTTGCTTATGTTTACTTACAGTTAATAAGTTTTTCAGTATCATGCCACTAGTTTGCTTCATATTCTGACTAGTTTGCTTTATATTGTTCATCTTCCTCCACTACAGGCTGTAATTACCATTTTTTTCCTTGATAGAGAAAAAGGTACCTTCACATATCCTCAAATATTTCCTGCTTGAGTCATAATATCTAGTATTTGTTGGATGGAATCCTTTGTTTTCCTGGAGACATCCCTCTTAGAGCCCTCCTACTTCCTGCGTCAGTCTTGATTTGGAAGCGTGCTCTATATCTTTCATTCTGAGTTATGCCTTCACTGCATTTCTGGGCTAGATTTACTATTTTTTAGATCCCACATCTTCCTCTCATGACATTCTCCCTCTTTTGCTGGAATATATTTTAAATTAACTTCGGTGTACAGGGTACTTAAGATGTAAGTGTTCTAAATTCTTACATGTCTGAAAATAGGTTTGGCTTTGCTCATAATTGCTTGATAGTTTGGGTGTAGAAATTTAGATTCAAATTAATTTCCCCTTAGTACTTTCATGTTTTGCTCTTTTCTGTTTGCATAAAGATGGTAAGAAATGTGATGTTACTCTGAGTCTTGATACTTTCTAAATGACACTTTCCCTCTCTCCTTGGAAGCTCTGGTATTTTTATCTTTGTAGTTCTAGAATTTTATATTTACGTGTGTTAAGTTTGAGTTGTTTTTGTCATTCTGTCTGAAGTCAGTAGGCAATTTTGGTTGAAATGTAATGTCTTCCTTCAGGTGTAGGAAATGTTCTTCTATTATTTCTTTGGTAATACTTCCTGGTTTTCTGTGTTCTCCCATTTTGGAATGCTCGCTACCAGAATATTGGCTTTCTGGATTGATTCTTATGTCTTTTATTTCTTCTCTCATGTTTTTCTTCTCTGCCTTTTTATTCTGTGTTCTGATAGATTTCTTGAACAGTATGTTCCTGCCTTTTCTTAATGTCTGTAAGCACATGATTAATATTCCAGTCGCTTTGCTTATTTTCTGCTTGTATCATTTCAAAAGGTAACATGGTGTAATAGCTTGTATGATGGAACCAGACTGCTGGACTGTGTGGGTTTAGATCCCAGCTTCACCACTTAATGTGACCTGGGGCAGGTTATTTAGCTTCTCTCTGCTCAGTTTCTAATCTACAAGATGAAGATAATAACTAGTTTGTGGATAGAGGAGTTTGTATTTATAAAGCATTTATAATAGTTCTTGGTGTAATAAAATCAATATTACTGTTACATATATGGCATCCTGTTTTTGTTTTATTGAATGCAGTTTCTTCAGGATTGTCTTGAGGATATTTTGTTTTGTTTTTGAGTTTTCTTCTGTGCCCTGAACAACCTATGATTCTTCTGAAGTTAGTTAATCTGCTTATTTATCTTGGTCATTTTTAGCTGCTGTTTTTTCTAGTCTGTCTGGTGATCGTTACCATTGCTTCATGTTTATTTCTGAAGGACTATCTTGATTATTTTAGGTATTGGCTGTGGGTTTCCTTTCTTGTTGTATAGGTAGATTTGTTTTCTAGTTGCCATCTCAATGAAAAGACTAGTTGGTAACTCTTTGTACCTAGCTGAAGCATCTTGTGTGCTGGCAAGTTTAGGCTTAGAGCAAAAGAGCAGGGAACCTGTTGTTAGTCTCAAGGAGCTTTCCAATTGTCTTGTTGACTTGGGCTATATGGATACTAACATTCAAGCCAGAAGACCTGGTTTCTTTCTGAGCAGTTTGTTAGATTTCTTTAGAAAAGAATATTGCAGTTTTGAGCCTAGGGGTGACACTGGGCTTTGCTTAGACAGGGAAGAGTTGTGGAGAAAAGAAAGGTGAAGCTTTTTTGTAGGTCGCCTGTTTTCAGCCTCTTTACTTGCTAACTTGGAGCCTAGACTCTTGGGACCATTGGCTCAGACCTTCACTGTAGTCCCTTTGTGTGTAAATTTTGGGCTGTGATTTCTTTAGTTCTGTTTAACCTATTAATACATTTAGATCTGCTTTCTGTTCTTCAGAAATCTACTGTGGCGTTTCATGTCTTCATAACTTTCTTCTCCATTTTTTTCATTGTTTTATAGATTTATTTCTTTTTGTACTTCTGTATTGTCTTACCAGTAGGCTTTGCAAAGGGAGGCGAGGCAAATATAGTGTTGTCATCTTCTCTTTCTCTCTCCAAGTTTTCTTTAAAAAAAAAAGGAGTGAAAGAAATTGTTATTTCACTCTAAATACTTTTATGTTTCTTTAAAAAGTAAGGATGTTTTCTTACATAACGTCACCGTCATTACCACATGTAACCAAATTAACGGTAATTCTTAATATCGTATAATGCCTAGTCCATATTCAGATTTTTCCAGTTGTTCCAAAAATGCCTTTTTGTTGTTGATTTGTTTGAATCAGGATTCAAATGAGGTACATACATCCCAATTGATTATGTTTCTTGAGCCTTTTTTTTGTTTTTTTGAGGAAGATTAGCCCTGAGCTAACATCTGGTGCCAATCCTCCTCTTTTTGCTGAGGAAGACTGGCCCTGAGCTAACATCTGTACCCATCTTCCTCTGCTTCGTATGTGGGATGCCCACCACAGCATGGCTTGCCAAGCGGTGCCATGTCTGCACCCGGGATCTGAACCGGCAAACCCTGGGCTGCCGAAGCGGAATGTGCACACTTAACCGCTGCGCCACCTTGCCGGCCCCTCGAATCTTTTTTTTAAGAGTACAATTTGTTTGGAAGAGGAGTGGCATCAGTTTGTAGATCACTTCTGATAGAAAATGTTTGAGCAAGCTATGTGTTAATGTAGTTCTGCTCTAATTTCTTAAGAAAGCAAAGTCTTCCCCAAATAGCACACGCTTTTGTCTTAATGGAATATTATAAATCTATGCACCAGGATACAGTGTGGAATAAAGAACTTCCGTCTACCTGTCACCAGTTTTAATAACTGTTAACTCAGGATCTGTTGTCTTTCATTTATACCCTCACACATTTACGTTCTCCTAATATTATTTTGAAGCATATTCCACATATCATTCATATGTAAATATTTTAAGGTATATTTCTAAAACTAAAAGCTCTGAGTCTTTAAAATTTAGAACAGTTGATAAACTTTCTCCCTTTCCCTTTTTGCCCTCCATATTGAAGGAACTGGGTCACTTGTTCTATAGAATGTTTGACATTGTGGATTTGTCTGATTACTTCCTCCTGTTTAAGATCTTTTCACTCCTTGGGTGTGACATTGCTCCTGTTAAGAGTGTATGATCTAAAGGTTTGATCGATTCCAGTTTGATTCTTTTTTAACAAGAATATTTTATAAGTAGTACTATGTACCACGTATTTCATTATATCAGAAGGTACATAATATCTGGTTGTCTCACTTTTGGAGATGCTAAGATTGATCACTGTATTCAGTTGGTGACAGTATGACCCATTGTGAAATTTACTATCGCTTTTTCTCCTAATGGTTTTATTTTATTTATTTTTATTTGAGGAAGATTAGCCCTGAGCTAACATCTGCCACCAAGCCTCCTCTTTTTGCTGAGGAAGACTGGCTCTGAGCTAACATCCGTGCCCATCTTCCTCCACTTTATATGTAGGATGTCTATTACAGCATGGCTTGCCAAGCAGTGCCATGTCTGCACCTGGGATCTGAACTGGCAAACCCTGGGCCGCTGAAGCGGAACGTGCAAACTTAACTGCTGTGCCACCAGCCTGGCCCCTCTGCTAATGGTTTTAAAATCCATCGATGATGTTGCCCATCTATTTATGTCATTTCTTTTGTTCTTATTAGCTGAAATTCTTTGGAGGACTAGCCCTCACTAATTAGGTCTCTTTGGCTACCTTGAAATACAGTTTGACAGGACAGGCAAGAAAAATGCTTTATTAGTTCCCTTTTACTTAATAATTTTTGATTAACCCTTAGTGTACCATCAGTGTCCATTGGATTTATTTAGTTATATATATATATATATATATATATATATTTGTAACATTTCTAACTATCTTTAGGGACTAGTAATTCATGATTGTTTTTCTTTCTTCGAGGTCTTCCAAAGAACAAAAGCAAAACTTACTGCTTTTAAATCGAATGAAACTTATCCTATCTTTCATGTCTTTGTTTGCCTTTAAGCATTGTGCTGTTTCATCATGCTAAGGTTTATTTCATCATGACTCATCAGTTGTTTCCATCTCTCCTAAAAAGATGATATGAAAATACAAGAATGATGGAATCACGTAGAAAGGTGATAGAATGTGGAAAAATATTGTCACTGTTGCATCATGGTTTTTTTAGTTTTTATTTTAATTTTTTTGTATTGCAGTTATTGCATCATATTTCAAGAAGTTATAAAAGAAGCCTGGAGACCCTATTTTTGTAGGCTGCTTTTAGTTTTCATTGAATGCAGTTGAGACTTCAGATTTTTTCATTTCAGTCCATAATGACAAAGAGGAAAAAAATGACAGATGTTAAAGAGATGTTTCACATCTCTTTAACAAGTCAGTAAATGAATACAAAGGGAAAAATAGTACTCCAGGTCCAAACCAGCATTGTTTAGTAGGCATATAATGTGAATCACAAATGTAAACCACATATATAATTTTAAATTTACTTTAAAAAGTAAGTGAAGAAAATAGTGTCATTGAGGAAAACAAGAAATATTTAGAATTCCTTTTAGGAGCTAACACCCTGTGGGACAAACTTTGCTCCATCTCTTCTGTCTCTTTTTTGGCACTGGTTGGATAAATACCCTCCCTTCCTCTTCTCCCCTGCATTCACCCCAAATAGGCTGTTTTCTTGTGGCTCTTTGTAGCTTGGTAATGTACTAGCTTGTGTTTGCTTTGTCTCTTTATATGCCTTGCTTCCCTTTCACTTCTTCACTCTGGCATTGAACTCTTCCTTCCCAAACTGTCAACTTGTCCTTTTGCCTCAGACTGCCTTTTCGAGCTGAAACAATGGCTTCTAGACTTCTTTGACCACGACCTATAGTAAGAAATATATTTTATGTTGTGACCCAGTACACACATACGCGCTCATAAACACATATCTAAAACAACAGCTTTGGGAAGCACCCTTATCATTACTAGGCGTCTTGTACTCTGAATTTTTCTTTTTCCTCTCCAGTTTCATTTTAAAAATGCTGGTTATAACCCACTATATTGCTTGGCCAAAGAGTAAGAACATTTGTAATTGTGTTAGGATATTGGTATTTTGTTTTCTATAAGTTTGTACCAATCTGTATTCCCCCCCAGCAATGTATGAGAGTAATGTCAAAGCTGATATTATAAGTGCTTTGAAAATTCTGTTCCTAGAGCTTGTGACTCATAGTGTCCTCAAACTTCAGCAACACCTGTCCTGCCTTGGGAACAGAGTATCTGTGCTTTAACTCAACTCCTTTTATGGTAGTATCTGGAGAGGGAGAAAGAAGCCTGTGGGTTAGTTGAACATTTGTGGGACTCCATCTTGATTTGTCTATAATGTTTTGGTTATATCTCTTTGAAGAGCTTTTTTTGTGGTTGCTTTAAGTATTATGTTATGTATACATAACTCTTTACAGTCTACTGATTGTCAAGTCCCTGTACTCAACCTCTCGTTTCTAATATAATTGCCTTTTATATTTTCTCTATATACATTTAGAACCGTATCACATGGTGTTATTTTTGCTTAGACTATCAAAAATGATATAGGAGACTTAAGAAGAGAAGAGAAGTCTGTTGTGTTTACCCATATTCTGTCTCCATTCTTCCTGATTTTCTAGTGTTCCTTCTTTTATCATTTCCTTTTTGTTTGAAGAATTTCCTATAGCCATTCTTTTAGGGTAGGTCTCCTGGTGACAAATCTCTTAGTTTTCCTTCATCTGCAGATGTTTTAATTTCCCTCTTTCCTAAAGGATATTTTGTCTGTATATGGGATTCTGGGTTGGCAGTTCTCTCAGCACCTGAAAAATGCTTCTAGGCATCAAAAATATGAATATGAATTGACATTTAAAATGTTTATTAGCTGTGACCATAGTGTTCTAAGTGTTAAAGAAAAAATTTTCTTCTAAATTATAATTACTGAGTACGACATAAATATATTATTGATTTCATTTATTAAATGATTATAAACGTAAAGGCATCTCTTCACAGGGGACTGCTCTTTTCATGGAATTATGTACCCATGGATGAATATTATTTACGTTAGAATGAGACTGATTTCAGTGGAAATTAATAGTAAAAAGGAAAGCTATTGGGTCATTAGTAATTGTGAGATTTACAAATGATTTATTGATAATTTTTGTTAGGCCTATCATTTATAGTAGAATTTATAGTATATTCCTGTTAAATTAATCTATATCTAATAAGTCCATGTAGGAATGAAACGCTGAGCAGAAAATGGATATGGGACAGCATGAAGACTTGTCCAGGTTAACAAATACATAGATATATAGATTTACTGTATCCAGTAATTTTTTGACAAAAGTTAATAAAAATGTTTCTCAATAAATGTTCAAGAAAGTATAAAACCTTAACTTTGGTGTATGTTACTTTTACTTGAAGATATGACATTGATTTGACATAACTAAGGGCTGTTTTCAGCTCCTTGAAATCATGCAAAATATCTTCAGGTTACAGACACACAGTTGATTGATAGAATGTACTAATTTCTTTCTCATTTCTCAGAGAATAATGAAAGTACAGATCTTGAATTCTAAATAATTCTAGATAAATTATGTAAGGAGTCTGGCCATGAGCCTTTTGCCTGGAGGAACTAAGATGTAGCTATCTTCAATATTTATTGTCACTGTTGTCATTGGATTCTGTCTCAGGTGAGCTTTTAATGTCAGGTATTGTCCTTAACAGAAGTGTTTGGGACAGAGAGAGACAAGATCACCTTGGATATATGGTGCCTCCATTAAGGGATACTCCCCTGATATCAGTATATCAAATTATTCCTTTGATTGGTGTTTTGGATGTTTCTGCAACTCAGGGAAATACATTGTAGTGAGACGTTAGATGTGTGAGATATATATCCTTCTCTTACAAACTGGAAGAAGGAAGATTATAAAGTAGAGTGTAGGAAAGGAGAAACTAGCATGGTGTCTGACCTTGTTATTAATTCAACTAACTGGTTGGTAACTACGGAAATTAAGAATCTGGAAATTGATTCTCTTAAAACCATCTCGTCCTCAGTGTGAAGACTGCTGGATTAATTTTTCATCACTAGATTATAGTTTTGAATCTTTTGCTGTATAATATTCATCTATTTTTTATTTTCACAACTGTTTTAATTCCTTAAGGACCTTCATCATTCTGCCGTGAGTACTGCTACTTCTCTGTGCTCTCTTTGAGCAAGGATTCTTTTCCCTTCTTCTTGCATATGCTCCTCAGTGGAGCAGTTTTTTTATTCTCCCTCTTCCTCCTTTAACATGAATATTTTTTATTCACAATCCACTCCCTGCTGAGGTTTTGATTTTATTCTGTTGCCTCAGATTTTGTGTGGTTGTTGGTTCTTCATTCATTTGAAAAACTTAGGCTATGTCTCAAAAATATAATTGCCAGGGGGTATCAATCTTCATTATATTTCCGTGACTAAAACTCCATGAGGGCAGAAATCTAGTGTGTTTTCCTCACCATTGGATATGTAGAACCTATCCTAGTGAGTGAATGAATGAGCAAGGAACAGAATTTTCCCAACTCTTTCCTTAATAGAACTGCTAGTTAAAAAAGAAATAACCAAATTAATGTTGTAAAGTCTTTTTTTGTTAATTGATATTTAAAATAGTACCTTTCTGGTAGAATGGTAATTAAAATGCTTTTAATATTGTGGTAAGAAGTATTGTTAACATTTCTGATCATTTATATTTTAATTGTTAATAAAAATTAATGGCCATGATTGGACTGTTTCATAAAATCATATTGGAAATATAGGGTAATAAAAGCCCCTACCTTGTAAGGATGTTGTGAGGATTGAATTAGTTAATACATGTAAAGCATTTAAAACAGGGCTTCATATATACTCAAGTGCTTGGTAACTATTAATTGGTAATTGAGAATGGTGCTGAGACTGACTTCTTCCCCATCATTCTGCAGGAGGGCCCCTGATGGTAAGTTATCAGTTTATCTATCCATAAGGAAGCTGGCTATTGGCACAGGGCAGTCTTCCACTCAGGTCCTTGCCGAAGCCCCCTGAAAGGATCATCCTCCACAGGGACTTTGCCTCAGGTTCTTTCCCAAGGGTCCTCCTCTCAGACCTTTGAGAGCAGGGGGCTGGGAAGAGCTTCAGAATGGGTGATATGTTGCAGTCAGGTGATGAGGGTTTAAAATGAACTCTGCCTTTTAGGCCTCTGTGACTCAGGGCAAGTTGCTTCACCTCTCACTTTCCTCCCTTGCCCATCTCATCTCAGAGAATGATCTTCTCATCCCTTTTCTTACTGTGAGCAGCTACACTGGGCTTCTTTTACTTCCACAAAATGCCATATTCTCTCCTACATCTGGCCCTTTGAACATGCTCTTCCCTTTGGATGAAACATATTCTTTCTCTTCCCTCCCCCTTTGCTTTATTTTGCCAGATCCTGCTCATGCTTGCATTAAATGCCTCTCCCTTAGAAGGCCTTTCCTAACCAGTTCCCACCAGACTGGTTTGTATCTCTGCCATGCTTTCCTTTTACACCATCGTGATTCTTAAAGCCTTTCTTCCCATTTGGAGTTGCCTTACATGCTGAGCTCCCAGAGGGGTTGATGGAATCTGACATGTTCTTTGCTGCATCCCCAATTCCTGGCACATAGGAGGCCACATTAATGATGTATAGATGGATGGGAAAAAAATGTTGGAGATATTGTTACTTAGAATTTGGTTAACATTATTTCTACAGCTGCCCTTGTTTTACAGAATTTTTGTTTTGTTTTTTTCTTGTAAAGCTGCCGAAACGTAGAAGCTGATTCTGTCACAATGTCAGATGCCTTTGGAAAATTCTACATTCCTCTTAGATGAATCTTTAGAACTTGGTGAGTTTCACTAGATACCTTCAGTCTTCATTTTGAGCTCAGAGGTATGCCACCTTTTTTCTTCCTTTTTTGCATAATTAACAAGTACGGTGAGGTTTGGAATCTCCTGGCAAGGAGCATGGGACCAAGTATTATAAAAAGATTTAGGGCATGATCTCCTACCTTCCTCGATAGCTTTTGTTTATCTTTAGAATTTTCATTCTTATGAGGAGTGAAAAGATATTCATTGGTAAGACAATTGATATCCAGATGTAAAGTATTTTCTTTTCAGCAACTCATGAAGTTTTTCAAAGTTACTGCACAGAAGTAAGAATTATACTTGTTTTTTTTCTGAGATAAAGGAAGATGATTTTCAAGTGACTGAAAGTAGAATAGGAATTGTTTATTTCCTGTCAGATTTTAGCTTTAAAGATAATCAGTTGAATGAGGTAGAGAAGGGCCAGTCACCTACTGCAGCTCCACCTTACAAGCAAGTCTCTCCATCAGGGGTCTGCGCACTACCAAATCCAGCCTACTGCCCGTTTTTCTATGACCCGTGAACTAAGAATAGTGTGTATATTTTTAAATGGTTGGGGGAAAAATCTCAAAAGAATACTATTTTGTGACATGTGAAAATTATGTGAAATTCAAAATCAGCATCTATAAATAAAGCTTTATTGGAACACAGCCACTCTTATTTTTTACATATTGTGTATAGCTATTTTCAAGCTATTGTAGTGGAGTTAAGTAGTTGCGTCAGAGACCTTAGGGCCTAGAAAGCCAAAAATATTTACAACCATTTAAAAATATACACACTATTCTTAGTTCACGGGTCATAGAAAAACTCAAAAGAATACTATTTTGTGACATGTGAAAATTATGTGAAATTCAAAATCAGCATCTATAAATAAAGCTTTATTGGAACACAGCCACTCTTATTTTTTACATATTGTGTATAGCTATTTTCAAGCTATTGTAGTGGAGTTAAGTAGTTGCGTCAGAGACCTTAGGGCCTAGAAAGCCAAAAATATTTACAACCATTTAAAAATATACACACTATTCTTAGTTCACGGGTCATAGAAAAACTCAAAAGAATACTATTTTGTGACATGTGAAAATTATGTGAAATTCAAAATCAGCATCTATAAATAAAGCTTTATTGGAACACAGCCACTCTTATTTTTTACATATTGTGTATAGCTATTTTCAAGCTATTGTAGTGGAGTTAAGTAGTTGCATCAGAGACCTTAGGGCCTAGAAAGCCAAAAATATTTACCATGTGACCCTTTACTGAATAAGGTACCTGACCTGTGCTCTAGGTCATGGTTGGACCTAGGACGTGGTTGGAGAAGTATTTATAGATTGAGTTCTAAGGTTTAAGAGATGAGTAGGCGGAAAATAGCGGGACGTGATTGTCAGTACCAAGTCTTAGTGACTCATTTATACTTTTTTCTGTCCTGCAAAGTGTAACCCCTATTCTAATTAAACTGACCATGTTGTTGTTTTAAAATAGGAAATAAATCAAGAGAAATCATTCTTCTATTACTTTTCTTCTAAAATGAATGTATATGGGAATTTGTAGAAAGAAAATTAGTATAGTACTCTTAGATTTTACCTGGTTTTGACATTACTATAATATCTTAAGCATTTAACAGATTGTGTATACCTTATGTGCAGTCTCTGTTTTTTCCTGATGTGCAGGGATTACTTGTTATTTTTATTTTTTAAGTGAAAGTACTAGTCTAATATTTGGAAACTAGTTGGTGACTGACTCAATGGAACTCAGTACATTGAGGATGAAGGTACACAGTCCCTTTTGGAATCAGTGGATAGGCTTGGAGGGTATTCTTAAGGAGCTCTTTTGTAGTCTGACACAGGTTAAGTCCTATATTAGATAAAAGACCACGATTTTAGTATCTCCCTTTCTTGGCCCTCTAGAACACTTAATAGTTTTGTGACTTTGGACACATTTACCACTCTAAATCCTAATTGCTTCATTTCCAAATAGGGAAAAATAATACCTTTCCTGTCTGAAAGCAGGAATCTTGGATTTACTAAATTATAAGTTTTCTAAGGGTAGGTACCATGCCTGTTTTTTAAACAGTGGATCCCCTGTAGGCCTGGCACATAGAGTGAAAGAACAAGATCTATTATAGCTCCAATAACTATTATATCTGTGCATGATCACAATAATTCCAGTTTCTTCGAAGTTTTGCTTATTGCGATTGGGTGTTTTTTGTTAACTGTAAAAGAGAATTTTGATGAAAACAGTTATTTTCTCTGGATTCATTCTTTAAGATAGCCGTCAAATCATTGGCCAGATTATTTGGCCAGACTTATTTGTCTAAGTTGATTGTTTATTGTTAATTTTTGAAATCTTAAGAGCCCAGATAAACTACTAATCCAAGAATTACCAATCTTAAAGAAACCTAGAACCGTTCTCATTATAAAGCTTTAAAATGTATATATACTAAAAGCCACTCTTGGATAGGAAGACATATATTCTCATCTAAGTCTTCTGAAATTTTCCCCAACTCTTCCACTGAACCTCTTTTTTTTTAATGAAACTTCCCTATATAGTTTGCTTAAGAAACCAATTTTTAAAATACTACCTTGCAGTATACCTTGTAAAGATAAGATAGTTTAAAAGGTATTTAGCTGAGGAAAATTATACCAGATTTAAGGAGTCTAGGGAGATGTGACAGCTAAATGCAATATATGACTCTGGACTGGATCCTGTACTGGAGGAGGAAGAAAGCCCTAAAGTACTTTATTTGGTCAGTTAAGAAAATTGGAAAATAGACATTATATTAAAATATTGTGTAATTATTAAGTTTTCTGAGGTTAGTAACTATACTATGGTTATTTAAGAGAATGTCCTTGTTCTTAGGAAGTATACATTTAAGTATTTAGAGCTAAAAGGTCGTGATTTATACAACTTACTCTCAGTTTAGAAAACGTTTATATTTTAAAGAAAATGATGCAAATGTTAACAATTGGTGAATCTGGAGTAAGTATACATAGGAGTTCTTTTAAATATTCATATAGTTTTTTGGAAGTTTGAAATTATTTCCAAGTAAAAGTGTAAAGAAATGTCTTTAGCAGTTACCAGAAAACCTGGAAATTATGTCCAAATACTGTTACTTTTAGATTATCATTTACTTCCATTAAAAATATACTTATAGTCCTTGTATTTTTTTCAAAGTGCTTTTACACATCCTCTGTTCACATGGTGGTACTGTTATTGAACAGTACTTTTTTGTTGAGTGGTTTATGATTAACTATATGGTCATCAATGCAGATGCTCTGTTCTGTGATTATTTAATAAGTTTATGACAAGTACTTTATAAAATAGGTTTAGTTGTTTTATAGTAATGTGGAGATAAAATGAAAAAAGCTTTGAAATGTAAAATCTGCTTGGCAAAGAGAAGGTCTTTGTATTAATAGTATTCTTGATGATTATCTCATCAGTTATTTTAATCATAAGATCATAGTGAAATATCAATTAGTATAATTTAGAACTTTAAAAAAACTTAGGTATAATCTGTTAAGTTTTCATCTATCCTGTAGTTTACTTTAATATAATGTTCACTTCAGCTAGTTTCATTAAAAATCTACCATATTCCCTTAGCTCCATAAATATGCTTTGTTTGTTTTTAAAAGTGGGTCTGGTTTTATCATCTCAAATTTATTATATTTTGAAGGAAATTCAAGAATAAGTATCTATTATAGTGTTTCTCAAAATAGTATTAGTAATTGCAGACATTTTTTGAGCGTTTGTGCCAGGCATTATATTGTAAGCACTTTTCACTTAATGATTTATTTCATTTTCACAACCTTATGCTAACACCTTGTCTTGATTTGCTGTTTTCAATTCTAGCTAAAACTGAGCTTAGAAGCTAAGCTTCAGAACCCTCAAGTTTTCTTACCTCTTTTTGCCAAATACAAACTGTAGGAACTAGTGATCTGGAACTTAATACAGTAAAATTGATCAATTATATTTACATTAAGAAAAAAATGCCATCTGACAATTTTTTAGTTTATAAATTTTGGATAGGTCTAACTTCAAGCTAGACTTCCTGTTGCCCTCATAATATGGGAAGGATCCACCCATCAAAACAGTTCTTCAGTAATTATACTGAAAAAGGAAGTAAATATGACTTTTAGTACCCAAGTAAGAGACAGACTGATGCAGAAACCTGGTTCTACTAGACTTCAATTTGACCAAGTAAAGTAACTACAAATAGTAAAAATTTAAAAATCAAGGCACTGATAGAGTATTGCTAACTTTTTTTTTTTAACTTTTCCTATTGAATTAAAACATGCTTATTATAAAGTCCATCAATCCTGAGTGTCATTTTGATGAAATTTTATGAAGTCAACGCTTGTTTAACCAATATCAAGATCAAGATATAGAACATTTTCATGAACCCAGGAGCCTCCTTCATGCCCCCTAACAGTCATCACATACTCCGGAGGTAACTATTATTCTGACTTCATTCACTATTCATTAGTTCTGTCTATTTTTGACCTTCTGTTGTCTATCATTTTTTAATCAACATCTTCTTTATGTGAGTCATCCAGGTTGATTCATGTAGTGATAGTTCACCCTTTTTCATTGCTTTATAATAAATAATATCTATATACCACAGTTTATTTATCCATTCTGCTGTTGATGAACATTTGGAGCATCGTCAGCTTGTGGCTATTATGAACAGTGCTGCTGTGAACATTCTTGAGCATGTCTTTTGATGTACATATGTATGCATTTCTGTGAGTAAATTTCTGGGAGTGAAATTGCTGGGTCAGGGTATTTGGCTGTTTAGGTTTAGTAGATGCTCATAGTTTTCCAAAGTGGTTGAATCAGTTTACACTCTCACCAACAGTGTACAAGAGTTCTTGTTGCTCTACATCCTCACTAATACTTGATTTTCATTAGTGTTTTCAATATTAGCTCTTTTGCTATTTTTGTAGTGAAAATTTACTGTAATTTTAGTTCATAATTCCATGATAACTTTAAAAGGTTAGCACATGTGTTTATATGCCATTGACCATTTGGATGTCCTCTTTGGAGAAATGCCTATTCATGTCGTTTGCCCATTTTTTTTTTATTGGGTTGTCTTATGGATTTGTAGGAGTTCTTTAACTATTTCTAGGATGCTAGGATGTTTTTTGTTGGATTGGGTATTGAAGATATCTTCCCTGCTTATTCACTCTTTTAATAGTATGTCTTAAGATAATTTCTTAATTTTAATAAATTCAGTTTTATCGAACTGTTCTTTTGTGATTAGTGCTTTTTGTGTTATAAGAAATGTTTGCCTATCCCAAAGCCAAGAAGATATTCTCGTTTATTTTCTTAAGTAAACTTGGTTGTTTAAACTTTTACATTTAGGTTTATGCATGGTATGTGGTAGGATTCATGGTTCATTTTATTTTCCATGTGGAAATCCATTAAGGTTAAGCATTAGTTATTGAAAAGACTATCCTTTCTCTACTGTAACGCAGTAGTGCCTTTGTTGTGATTCAGATAACTGTTTATTTGTGGGTCTATTTTTGGACTCTATTCTGTTCCATTGGTCTAGTTGTTGGTGTGCCAGTGCCATAGTTCCTTAATTATTGTAGCTGTAAATCCTCTGACTTCATTCTTCAGAATTGCCTTGGTTCTTTGAATTTCAATAAAAATTTTATACTCAGCCTGTCAGCTTCCTATATAAATAAATAATAAATTCCCTGCTTAATATTAAGCAAGTTAAATATTATTTAATATTATTCTCGACTAGCTTAATATTGAATCTATAGATCAATTTGACTACAATGGACATCTTTCAGTATTGACACTTTCAATACATTTACTGTGGTATATGCCTTTATATATTTAGGTCTTTTAAAATTTCTCTTAGAAATCGGTTTTGTTGTTTTGTGTGTAGAGGTCTTACACATCTTTTTAATGTATGATAATGAGATTGTGGTTATGTTTTTAAATAGTCCTTGTAATTTATAGATTCATAGTGGAGTATTTACAGATGAAATCATACAGTGTTTTGGATTTGCTTCTAATAATACAAAGGAGGATGGGAAGGCATGGGGAAGGGTCAGAACAGATAGAATAAGATTGATCATGATTTGATAATTGTTGGAAATGGGTGACGGATAGATGGGTTAATAATTATAGTATTCTTTTTTACTTTTGTGTGTGTAAGCCTATTTCTCTGACTGATTAGAACTAAATGGAGTAAGCCTATTTCTCTGACTGATTAGAACTAAAAACTCTCAATAGAATATAAAAAGCAACTATCTGAAAACTAAAATTTAATAATAGCAGGTGGATTGAGAAAGGAAGTCATAACTTGAAGAATAGTCTGTATAATGGTGAGTTTACCTTTTTTTCTTTCTTTCCATGACCCAGCTTTGACCAAATGGTAGGCTGTATTATGGAACTGCACAGTGGGTGTAGCAATTAGCAAAAACTCCAAGGGAAACCCCTATTTCTAGCCAGAGGACAAGGAAAGGGGGTCCCCTATTTTTTCTTTTTCTCTCTCAAGCCTGCCATAAGATGATCTCTACCTGTAAAGTTGCATTATCCTGGTGGCAAAAGGACTTAAAACCCTGAGGAAAAACGATTTCTCTGGCCAGAGGAATTGGGAAAGAGGGCCCTGCAAACTGGAGCACGCTGGGGAAATCTCAGAAAGGGGAGAGCTGATGTGACAGGAGATTTCCTGATTGTGAGTATGAACCCACAAAGGTCCCACCTCACTCATGAGTTACACATGCATGGAACAGACCCAAAGAAACACATCAAAGACTTAGAGAACTGAACTACGATATAAATCACTGTTAATATCTCAGACTTGCCCCTCAGTGATGCATGCAGAGGATAAACCGAAATAACATAGTAAAGGCTTTGAAAACTGAACTGATATTGGAGCTATCACTCACAGAAGACAATATAAGCTTGTAGTCTAAACTTAAATCAAAAATCAAATTCTCCAGAAGATGTTATTGGAATCTAGAGTTTCATAACTAATATCAGAACATCTAGGATATAATCCAGAATTACTTGACATAGAAGGAAATGGGAGAATCTGACAATTTTTTAAGGGAAAATACAACAAAAAAATGCCAACCCAGATGATGGATTTGTCAGAAAAAGACTTTAAAGCAACTATTATATCCATGCTTCATGAAATAAAAGTGAATATTCTTGAAAGAATGGACAGTCCTCTGAAAAATAGAAACCATATAAAAGAATCAAATGGAAATTTTAGAACTGAAAAATACAATATATGAAATACAAATTTAGTGCATGGGCTCAGTAGAAGACTTGAAGATAAATCAGTATAAATCTCACATCTTGTGTCTTCTGTGTCAAGGGTATGTCTCTGTTCTATACTACTTGTTTAGTCCAAATTGCCCCTTGTGAAACCTGGTCATAGGCCTCAGGCTCTGAATTAGCATGCTATTTACACATCCTCTCTTAAATCCTTAATTACTCCTATTTCATGCTACAAAGAAAGATGTGTCTGTGTGATTTGAGCCCCATCTCCTTTCCTCCTCCACAGATTCAGACAGGGTCTTGGCCTGCTATTTTCCCAGACCTTGTCATTTCTGGTAAGGATCAAGCCATCAGTGGGTTTAAAAAAATAATAGTCAACTAAGGAACTAAATAGACCCATGTGTGTTTATGTTTATATGTTTGAAAGCTTTGAGAGTAAGTAGGGATAGAGAGAAATGTGGAGATGGATAGCAAATGTATATCATTATCATATATTGCAATATTACAATTCAAAGGGAATACATTTTATCTTAAATATCAAGTGTAGGTATAATGATTATTTTAGTGAAGAAAAAATGTGTTAAGGTAGTTGTTTTCTGAATACTCTGTGGTTCAGGATGTGTCCACACTTATTTGAACTAGTTTTCAGATGGTTGTGAACTTGCTTGGCACAAAGGCAGCCTAGCAGTTTACCCAAGTTTTAATAGGTCAAAACAACTATCTTTTTTATGAAGTGATTACACTGCACAAAGTTAGAGGAATACTTGTGGCCTTGAGAACTGATATATTTTTAGTGATATTTTACATGAGTTTGGTGGCCTCATTGGTAAAGTATATGTCAAAACATTGTCATTATATTTATACGTCTTGGTTGTAAGTTGTTAAACTATCTCATGAGCTAGCCGTAAGCCTAGTATTTACATAATGCTATATTGTCAGTTTAAAAAAATGCTTGTGTTTTTATTTTTGTGGTTTTGAATCAAGCAGATCACATGCTATCCCAGCTTATGTGAGATCTAGAGGGATAAGGTGCTTGAAATTGAGAATATGGAGGGATGTGTGCTGCTTTGTAATGGTGAGTTCTAGAGTAACTTCAGGGGAGTGAGAAGGAGGTAGGATGGAGCACATATTGTTGGAGGAGAGGAGATCAAGGAACTGACTGGCCAGGGGATTCGGAGGATCATTTATGTAGATATTAAAATCCAAAAACAATGACAAAAGAGGTGTCAGAATAACAGCCCTCAAGGAATGAGAGGGCTTGTTCTGGTGGTTTATGAATGGTTGCAGCAAGGAGAGGATAAGAGCTGATGTAGTCTGGAGACATGAGATTCAAAGCTGGGGATTTTAGGGAGGGGAGAAAAGGGAATATGTGAAAGAACAGCCACCTTTTGAAAGAACTGGTGCTACAGCAGAACTAGAGGAGTGAGGTTTCAGTTGGTGCAAGGAAGGTTAAGAGAGTGTGCAACAATAGTGAGGAAACAGGATATTTTGCTAATGATATACCGTCAGTTCCAGAGGACACAGTTAAAAGATTTTGGAAATTGGGAAAGGGAAAAGGGATCAATGTAGGGATACATAGAGTATATGGACAAAAGTGTGTATATAGGGATGTATATGATGGGGGAGGACCTGGGAGTTTTGGGCCTCTTCTGGTGACTGATATAAAAGGAAAGTAGGGCATGATGGGATTAGTCTTGATTATTTCCTGGGCAGATTACTGTAAATATTGAGGGCGAAAGGGTTTGGGAAAGGCAAATTTATCAAGAGCAGCCAGAGATTTTGGACTTGTATTAAATTTCTGTTGCTGCCATACAAATTACCATAAACTTAATGGCTTAAAACAGTATGAATATATTGTCTTATAGTCCCTGCAGGTCAGAAGTTCCACATGGGTCTCACTGGGCTAAAATCAAGGTGTCAGTAGGACTCTATTCCTTTCTGGGGGCTTTGGGGGAGAATTTGTTCCTTGTGTTTTCAAGCTTCTGAAGGTAATCCACATTCCTTGACTTGTGGCCACCTTCTTCCACCTTCAAAACCAGCAACATTGCATCTTTTTGTCACTTCTTCTGTCTCGTATTTCTCTGACCACAGCCAGGAAAAGTCCTCTGCTTTTAAAGACTCATATGATTACATTGTACCCACCCAGATAATCTAGAATGGTCTCCCTATCTCGAGATCTTTAATCTTAATCACTTCTGCACTGTC